AGAAGGAGAGAGAGAAAGAGAGAGAGAGAGAGAGAGAGAGAGAGAGCGCCAAGGACTTCTCTCATGTTCATCCAAGTAATCAAACTCAGGTTCTCAGATATGGCAGTAAGCACCTTTACCTACCAGGCCAGTTAGTTCACTAGCCCCTTTTTGTTATTTTATAATCCATTGAGTTCAATTTGTGGCTGTCATATTCTCATGGTATGGTACATCCTTAAAGAAAATATACTCTCTTTCACCTAGAGGCTATCACTTAAAAACAGAATTGGATAGCTATCTTAGCCTGAACATCAGGGAGCTCTTGGTCCCCAGACTGATAGCTGGGATACCAGTATGGGACTGATCCAGACCCCAGGAACATGGGTTTCAGTGAGAAACCCTCGGAAATCTACAGGACCTCCTGTAGTAGTTCAGTACTTATCCCTAGCATAGGTGTGGACTTTGGGAGCCCATTCCACATAGAGGAATACTCCCTGAGCCAAGGCACACGGGGGTGGGCCTAGGCCCTATCCCAAAGGGTAGGACAAACTCTGATGACACCCTATGGAAGGCCTCACCATCCAGGGGGAGCAGAAAGGATATGTGATAGGTAGGGTTTTAGTTGGGGGGGGGAGTGTTAGGGGAGGAGGGGAGGGAGAGGGAACTGAGATTGTCATGTAAAACAACAACAACAAAAAAACATGCAAAAAAAGATAGCTGTCTTAATCAGGGTTTCTACTGCTGTAACAGAACACCATGACCAAATGCAGTTTATTTCATTTACACTTCTGCATCAGAAGCCATCAACAAAGCAAGTCAGGGCAGAAACTCAAGCAGAAACCTGGAAGCAGGAGCTGAAGCAGAGGCCTCGGAGGGGTGCTGCTCACTGTCTTGCTCCTTATGACTTGCTCAGGCTGATTTCTTATGCACGCTGGCCATCTGCCCAGGGACGGCACCACCCACAATGGATTGGGTCCTTCCTCATCAATCACTAATTGGGAAAAATGCCCCACAGGCTAGTCTAAAGGCCATTCAATTATGGTTCCCTTTTCTTAGATAACTGTCGCTTGTAGCAAAGTTGGCAAATGAACAAATGAACAACAACAAAACAGGACAATTATCTTTGTCTACTATACACCAATACAGTACTATTAAATAGCCTTTCCTTTCTTGCTTATCCCCAAGATGTCATGTTAGTCTTAACATCACAATATAAAACACAGTATATCTTTAAAGGCCCCATAGTCCTTAAAAATTAAAATACTTGAAAAGCTCAGTCTCTCTAAGACATGCAAAGTCTCTCAAAAGTTCAAAGCCCTTCTAAAGCATCCAAGCTCTCTCTAAAATATAGTCTTCTCAAATTTCTAGACTCTAAAATTGAGTCGCTCACTTGGTGACTCCTGTATAAACAAAAACCCAAGTTAAACACTCTCCACAATCAAATCAAAACAAACCGAAGTCTAACAGGATAACTATCTGTGTCCAATGTCTGGGTTTCACTCATGATCTGTGGGTTCCCAGGGGCTTGCCAGTAGCATGTCTCTCCCTGTGCTATTCACAGCACACACAGCTTGTCTGGCAGGCTTAGGCTGGCTCCAATCAACTGGGGTTACTGCCCTTAGTTGTCATCAGATAGTAGTAACATCTCCAAAGTTCTGGGGTCTCTGCTGCAACTGAACTGTAACTTCACTAACTAAGTCTCCTAGATTGTCTTCAGGAACGCTGGCCCTGCCACAAGG